AAAAAAGATACCACATACAAGGTTTAATTTGCAAAGGCACTTGTAAGAAAATTTTGATAGTACGAGGTGTCTACTGCATCACTTCGACTTGGGTACACGGGTCAGGTTCACATATGTAAATTGAATACCACAAATCTCGACCACGAGTCAAGTTGTAGCAAGATTCTCTAATTCATTTAAGAGAATCAATACATTTGCAAGTCATTATAATTATTCCCTTTTCATCAAATATCAAATAAGAATTATTTGGATGAAATGACAATAGGGACGAACATTTTACCTTGTTCCACAAACAAATAATAGACGTTCTTGCAATAGCAAACAGTCGCAAAAAAAGGTCCCTAAAATGATCAGATAATTAGATTAGGAATCGTATGTACGTTTAGTGGTTAGAAAAACAGNGATCAGATAATTAGATTAGGAATCGTAGGTACGTTTAGTGGTTAGAAAAACAGTCATGAGCATGAAAGCGCGTGCATCCCAGTTTTCTAGTAGATAATAGCTCAATTTATGTGTAGAAATTAGTAACCGCAATATCTGACATGCAACTTTGAAAGTGCTGAGTATAGAGTCCGTTAGATGACATATTTAATTTATCCACAAAAAATATGGCCAATTTGAGAAGGAAAACTGCTCATATCTTATAGACTTGATGCTAACGTTGACCAATCCCCACACCCAAAAATGGATACATTGTAGCAGCATGAAATCATATATATTTAACAAAATTAACTCTTGACTGTATATATTAACATGTCTAATTACAGAACACTCATCCAGAGTGTAGTTTATATTCTTTGTATATTTTAAATCATCCTATCGCCACCGGAACGTTGAATGTTCGAAGATCCACTCAGGATCTCAAGAATACATCCCTTAGCTACTTCCAAAGAAACAGGTTCCATACCAACTTCAACAAACGACTTTTGTACCACAGCTATCTCAATAGTTATTTACACACAAATATGTATATGTAAACACACATTCCTTATTCTGTGGCGTTTACATTACACAGACCTATTAACTTTTCAAATTCCAATATGTCACGAGGATCAATTAGGCAATATTCAAGGGTGATTTAAACTGATGTTAGCACAGGACATGCACTGATATAACTTCAATGAATGATTTTAATCCTCTTTTTCAAAATACACAACTTGGACATCATATTAAATCGAGCACCAAGGCACTTCCTGGTAAATCCAGACAAACCACAACAGATCACAATGCTCCATGTAAACAGAATAAGCAGAGATTTTCTTTCTTGAACACAAGAACTTCATGCAGTTCAGCAATTTTCCATTAAGTATTGTGGTGAGATGTGTCTACTTTTTTTCTTTTCTATTTATCTTAATACGTAGTTAATATGCTCAATCGTACCTCATAGACTAACGTAGGATTTGGTTGCATGAACTTTACTTTTGTAGATTTCCATCACCACTTCTAAGGACCCATGCAGAACCTTGTGATACACACAGTTCCTGTAAAACCTGCAGATCATAAGGGAATACATAAACCTATACTAGCAAGCAATTTATTCACAAATAAGTCATTAAAGCATCCACCAATGATAATAGGGAAACGGACAAGAGGCTCAGTAGGTCAATTAAGTATTTAAGTGCTGGAACCTACTAATGACGACAGTGAAGGGGACCTGACCAGTAAAATATCTCCATTCTCATCCTAGTAACTAAGGTTCTGCTGTGTGCATAGGAAACCATGTGTATATATGCTTTTCCCACAAGGAGATCTGACTTGAGACACTCACACGAGAATCAGAGAATTTGCTGGGTGGTCGCTAATAGTATTCTTAATTATTGAAGGAATTCTAAGAGCATATGCATGGGAGAACTTCTAAAAGCATAATATATCTTCCCTCACATCACCAGCTCTCAAAAGTATATTCGCTAAACATATTTCTCTGTTTTATAATTCCATTGTTTAGCTTCCTCTCATCAGCATAATGCTAGATTAAGTCCTAACTGCTCATTTAAAAGAAGTGGGTGACATAGGTTGAGCAATGCTAGAGTCTTTCATATGAAGGAAAAACATTGGAAGCTGTCACGATAGGCAGGTAAGATAGATGCTAGATTATGGGCAAGGCCTCCCTCCCTCCCTCCCAACCACACACACCCACACACTGAGAGTGGTAATCCCCTATATCTCCTGTGACAATCTCAATCTTGTTTGTGCTTTCGTAAGGCCTCAAACTATAATCAAAACCTGATTAAAATTTTTTCAGGAAATAGTAAGTTTGCCTCAATGGTATCAAGGAGAGAGAGAGTATTTGATCTCAACATCTAATTATAATTTCATCATAATTAATTCGCAAGCTTGACTCTGACGTTCTGATATTCAATCTGAGGAATATCCCTTTTAAGTTCCATCTTAGCAGCCTTGGCTATGGGAGCCTTTTTGAGCTTTGCATTTGGTCCTTCAGCAATAAGAAGTTCAATGAAACCTTCCTGGGAGGGAAAGAACCACAAATCAATAATGAACAATATAAAATGGTGATCCTTTTTTTATAAAGAGAACTTGGTAAAAGAAAAAAATCAATGTTCTAGAACCAAAATATCGATCCCCTCGAACGGGCAGACTCAGAAACTGCCAAGTCCCTCAAACGCTGGCAAATTTGTTGAAAACTGGCATACATAGCACCAAGTAAAATTTCATTTATTTACAATCAAACTAAATTGCCACAATAAAACCCGAACACTCTGAGGATGAAGTTTGGTTTGCTAGATTAAAGGGCACATCAGCTTGAATAAATTTAATTAAATAAGTAAATTCAAACTAGTTTCTTTACCTTTGCATTGAGAATGTAAGCAATATAAAAATAATAACAAAAAATTGTTTAAATATGGTCCATTGGCATTTTGTTAAACCGTGTCAATTGTACCAGCCCAGCTAATGCAAAAATGTAATCCTACTAGTGTCGCATGCTAAGTGCAATCAGAGAACTAATTCACATGACCACCAGTCTTCCTCATCTCTTCCACTTACTATCCCATGTCTTGTTGGGTTTTGATACCCAATAAATCCGGGCGATGATATTAAATCGGTTTAATGTTGGATTATACTTCATAGGCCTCGGCCGATGAGTGAAGTGAAATATCAACACCACAATCATTATGACCAAACCCACGACTTATTTGGGCCATTGGAAGCAGTCTAATTAATTAGAGTTGTTCATGGCCCGACCCATTACCTTGGAAGGCTTTTAGGTTATTAGCCCACTTGTATTCTACCTATTGGGCCTTATTCTGCCCTAACCTAAAAGCCCATCTATACTCTACATAGATTGTGCCCCATTACTGTTGATTTTTGAGTAAAAAAAATAGATTGTTGGGCAGTCGAGTTTGAGAGAAAAAGAGAGCTCCTTTGCTTCGTGCTTCCCTTGGTTTTGTGCCACCTTCCTCTCTTCTTCTCTTAGCCTTTGTGGCTGTGTTTGAGCTCCCATTATCTATCACACTCCGCCCTTTGTAGGCTGACCTTGGAGCAACCGATTTTGGGGGTTTTGGGTTTGGTACGGTTTGGAGAATTGATTGTTGATTGTGGTGTTTGATTGATTTATCGTTCTTAGTGTATTTGGAGCTCAATATTTTACATATGGTATCAGAGCGGGTTGGTGGCGAATTGGGCTTCAAATTCTGATCAGAAATCAACCATAAAATCAGCAGAAACGCAGCAGAAAATCTGTCCCATTTTTGCGCAAAAAAACCAGACCTTCAAACTTGATTTCCGGCCAAACCAGAAAGAATTTGGAGAAATGGTGACCACTGGTGGAACGTGCATGTCGAGGAGATTCTGGGTCACCTGCACGTGGTGGTGACGGCCACCGGCGGCTGCGGCGCGTGACATCTTCGTCTAGGGAGCGTGCTGGCGCGTGTGGGCGATTTCGGCGACGACTCCTTCAGACAGTTTGTTAAGTTTGATCTCCTGAACATACTGATATTTTTGTTTTCGTGTTTCAGGTTACGCAGGAAAAGTTGGACCATTTTGCCCTTGCGCATTTGGGATTCAATTTTGCATTCCGTTGGTTGCTGTATTTGCTGCAAACTTTAGGGCGAATAG